AAGAAGGAGGAATACATTTCCATATAAAATGGGCAAAACTTTATGAAATTAAAGTTATCAAGCTTAAAATATTCCTTGAAGGCATCAATTTGTTTATGTTTATATCGTGGTTTTGGCCGGATTAGCCAATCAGAATGACAGATGGTCCCTCCCCCCACCTTCAAAGAGAGGAGAGGAAGAGCTAAAGAGATTTATGAGTTTAGGAAAAAACTATACTACTTTAACATAATGAACATATTAATAAATAATGAAATAATAAATAATAATAAGAAAATTTTAAAAAGCATACAGTATATACAAAATCGCATCAAGCTCCCAGGATAATGATCATGTCACCAGCAGACACAGGGAAAAGTCCCAGACTGGACTCAGACACGAGCTGGATTCCAGATCTGGAGTCAGGAACGCACGGATCAGGATCAAAGGCAGACAAACAGACAGGGTCCTCCTCGGACATTGGCCACTGAAGAAAGAGACTTGACCCTTTGATCCCTCAACTTTTATACTGAGCATGATGCAGGTGGGATGCAATACCCTGTTGATCAGTTTTGGGTCACCTGTCCTGTCCGCTCCTCCCTACAGGAGGACCCCTCTACACTTTTCCACTTCCAATGCTTCAACTGGACAAATAACAAAGTTACCTGACCTGGGTTGTTACAGCAATAAGTAGCAAGAGCTTCTCTGCACACCATTCCTTGGTCTTATCAGGTCTTATCACTGTGAGAGTGAACAGTTTCTGAACAATATGCTGTTAATTTCAGAGTTTAGTTAGTTAGAAGAGGCCCAGCTAAAAAGTAAAAGTACAGAACAGAAAAATGGTTCTGTTTTACCTCAAATAAAAAGCATACAGTATATACAAAATCGCATCAAGCTCCCAGGATAATGATCATGTCACCAGCAGACACAGGGAAAAGTCCCAGACTGGACTCAGACACGAGCTGGATTCCAGATCTGGAGTCAGGAACGCACGGATCAGGATCAAAGGCAGACAAACAGACAGGGTCCTCCTCGGACATTGGCCACTGAAGAAAGAGACTTGACCCTTTGATCCCTCAACTTTTATACTGAGCATGATGCAGGTGGGATGCAATACCCTGTTGATCAGTTTTGGGTCACCTGTCCTGTCCGCTCCTCCCTACAGGAGGACCCCTCTACACTTTTCCACTTCCAATGCTTCAACTGGACAAATAACAAAGTTACCTGACCTGGGTTGTTACAGCAATAAGTAGCAAGAGCTTCTCTGCACACCATTCCTTGGTCTTATCAGGTCTTATCACTGTGAGAGTGAACAGTTTCTGAACAATATGCTGTTAATTTCAGAGTTTAGTTAGTTAGAAGAGGCCCAGCTAAAAAGTAAAAGTACAGAACAGAAAAATGGTTCTGTTTTACCTCAAACCAGGACAGTTTATTTTTGAGAAATCATTATGCTGGACAGCAGAAGGACAATAGATGTTTTGGAGGAATGAAACCAAAAAAAAGTTTCTTTAAAAAAATAAATAAATGTGGTGCTCCAAAATAATTTATGAGCAATTTTTACATCTTTCTCCAGATAGAAATATTATTACATTTTACTGAAGCTAAGACCTGTACTTGTTCCACAAACAAAATCAATTAGCAGTAAAACTACACAGAAATATTATATTAGAACATAACATATTAGGACAGTGGAAAAATTGAGTCAAACCCTTCTGGTGTGGAATGGACATTATCTGTACCAAGTTCAACAACACAGTAGGGAGTACTTCAGAATTTTCTATGAAGGATGGGGTATTTTGAAGAAATACAGTCTCTTCAGTACAGTAAAAAGAACTGCTTATGTTAGAAATTCTTTTAAAAAGGACCAGCATGAATTTAAGAAGTTATATGTTCATTTTTGCATTATTTGCTCACTGAAAGAATAGCCAGAGATTAAAATAAAAAGTATATATTCCAGAGTTTTCCTCTCTCTCTCAAAACATGTAAGTTTATAGATCTAGACGAGAAGATAATACATTAGGGCAACGAGGGACCACAACTGAGGACTGAATCACCCTTAAAAACAGCCAGCCGTCACGGAAGTCTAAACTACCAATTACTAGCTCTATGCCTGGTCAATAAGGTTACTCACCTTTTTTTCATGTCACAGTCAGAGACAATCATATGCATTTAATCCCCCCATCACAAAACAACATTGTATGAGCAAGAAGAAACACACGTTGTGCATCAGAGACAAGACTGAATCATCCCTGCATCCACAAGGCAGGAAACTTCCAAACTATGGTACTGCTCCACAAGAATGCAGAGCAACTCTGCGCTGCACCTCGCAACCAAGAGGGAGAAAGCTAAGCTGCTTTTAGGATGACGGTGGCGTTCTGAACACTGACTTCTGCAGCAAGGGTCTGTGTGATTTTGATAGCCCTTGGAGCTTGTTTTAGGAACGCTGCTGTGTCATGTCGGAGCACCCAACAGAGTCAGGGCGTCTGTGCCGCCCTGCAGCATCAGTATGAGATTCCCCACTGCTTGTCCAAAAAAGAGCTTTTCCATCTGCTTTCAGGCTATCAGAGTTCAGGCACTCTGCCATCAAGGCCTGCCCCCAACACACTCCCCTCCTAACAGCCTCTTAATGCCCCTTTAGTCCCACTCATGATAAAACAACAAAGAAAAAAATACCAAACAATAAAAAAAATACCAAACTCTTCTTAAAAAGGTACCATACAGTCAGCTAGTTAATTAGACTAACTTTGGCATCACTATAATTATTTGAGTTTTTATTTTTAATATGAAAGATGATAGATTAATAAAGTAAAAAAAGATCAACAAAAAGCATACCCTACATGGTAAGCTCAGTCAGGGCCACATATCTTACTGCTACTCTTCAAATACAGAGCATAAACCTACTGTTTGCAGACATGCAGATCTTTCCTCCACCCAGACTGGCTTATAAGGCATGTACCCAAGGTAACACACTTACTGACAGCAGTCTGTGCAGAAATTTAAAAGAAACAGGAATATAGCTACATATCCCTCTTAAAAGAATATTTCTACATATGCACATGTATACAGTGTAAATATTTAGCTCAACTACTTATTTTCCACTATGCATGAGTAAGAAATGCAGCAGCAGTCTGCTGCAGCTCATCGTTAACAAAAGAAGGTCAAGCTTTTACTATGTGAGATCTTGTGCTCACATTGCAATAGTGTGCTCTGGCATAGTTACCTCCGAAAAAGCAGCAGGACGCAGTATCACCATAAAACTCCTTTGGAAAGCAAGTGGAGAATTTGCTACTCATCTAATCTCTGGATGGCTTTTAGGTAGACAAAACTTGGCCAGATGCTGTAGGTTGGGCTTGGAATCAAGACCTTGCCTTCATGCTTCATGAACAGGACACCCTAGAGCACTGACTCAGTACTGACTTAAAAGAAAAGCACTCACCTACAAGAATTGGCTTAAGTAACAGCTTTTTCCTGTGCCTAGATTTTCAGGGAAGTCTAGCCATATCTGACTGCATTCAGTGCATGGAAAAAGAAAAAAAGCATTGCATCGATCCTGTGTAACTGCACAGTACTTCTTTGAGGTGCCAAAAACAAATAAAATTGGAAAAGACTGTTACATTACTGAATATTTAGTAGTTCTTCTAATAGTCTAGATGTTTCAGAATACTCTGTGATATTTTACCAGCCAGGGAGTACACAAATCACAGTCCACTGAAGTCTGAAGTGATGACCTATTTCTAGTCCTTTACTGTTGCCAATGGGAAGATGCCAGAAGGCAAGAATGAAGGGCAGTACAAAAAGTAAATGGATACTCCTCCTTTCCCCATGATGCCTCCTTCCCTACCACATCTCTGGACTGTTAAGTAAGGGCTAATCACTAGTTTATGTCATATATTCTGCCTAGCACTGGCAGCAGGAACAGAGTAGTAGGGCTCACAACTGTGTTTTACTGCAGTGATGCTGGAACATCACTGAGCCATAAGTTCTGTGTGACACGGTGCCTGAATCTCAAACATCTCTGGTGACCGTTTGTACTGAAATGTACTTTAGTACTGCCGAATCTTGCAAGCCCCTGCTCAAGTATGGCTATAAATACGCTAGCAAACAGGAAAGCCAGTAATATCAGGAATTCTTTTTACACTGCATTTGACATCACAGTGTTTTACTGATGCAATGTTCCCAGATACCTCAAGAATCAAAAAGTTGGAAATGTTCTGCTGCTTTCCTCTCATTTTACACTTTGACTACCAACACATTGGATGTACTGATTTCAAAATGGGGACAATTCCACTGCTTCAATTTGTAAAGAAGGAATTACCCAACCAGCACTATATGTGTTAGTTATTAACTCTGTGGCATCCTGTGTGAAAAGCATCATGCAGAACAAGAGTTTGTTCTAGCAGATTACAAGAAAAAAAAAAAAAAAAGATATTGGGAAAATGATACATCAGTACAAGTCAGGGCAAAAAAATCCTGAAGCTTGAAGGTGCCTTCCATCAGAAATTAAATACAGCACAAGGGTCAGTTATACAAAAAAAAGGAAAGGCGGGGCATTACGGAGAAACAGAAGAAAGGAAGAAAAAACCCTCCTTCATTAGAGAAAGAGGAAAGAGAGTATTAATCTCCAAAGTGTTAAATTGAACTTGCTGCAAAATTGATCAGACCTCTCCAGACTCGGAAATACCCTACAGCAATTATTGATCAAGAGCAGTGAATGCGCTACAGACCACGTTTATGTGCCACAAAAAAAAAAAAAAAAAAGAGAAAATAACTAAAGTGTATTTAAAACATATTTAACTTCACAACAGGCTCAAATGCTGAGTTAACGATTGCATGACTTATTGCAGCTATGTGTATGAGGATAGATCCCGTTTATGGACAAAAAAAAAAAAAAAAAAAAAAGAGAAAATAACTAAAGTGTATTTAAAACATATTTAACTTCACAACAGGCTCAAATGCTGAGTTAACGATTGCATGACTTATTGCAGCTATGTGTATGAGGATAGATTATCCTCAGGAAAACATACCTGGCAAGATTGAATGCATCATCGATCAAGCCTGCTCGATTACTGACAGAGATAACCTGTGAGGGGCAAGCAGAAAAATTGAACCATTTAGGGTGATGAAACAGTGAAAGTTCACCTATCAAAGCAGATTTTAGTGATGAGAAGAGGAGCTTACCTCATGGTTCCTTATTAGCTGATTAATTAGCAGCCTCCAATTCCTAATATCATAATTAACTCTAAAGTAGCCAGTCTGGTTGATGTTCCCCAGCAACCAACTTGCCTCTTCCAAAGCAGGAATTCTGTGGTGTTCTGGAAACAAAGAACAAGATGGGAAGGGGACTTGGTTTTAAATTTAAAAGTTCTAAAGACATATCTGTTAAATTATCTCCTGCTTTAAATATCCACAAACACAGTAAAATTAATTCAAAGACTAACAAAAACATTGTGTTTGATAATGATTTCCTTTATCTGTCCTGATGCAGAGAGACTCCAGCTGATATTCTTGTGGGGACCTTTTATCCACACAGAACTCCAAGGGTGGGGCTTTTTCTGGCAAACAGTATTTATACAAGAGGTGCTCCTTTTAAGACTGGTACCCTGATTCTGGCCATGCTAAACTAGCTGTATACAACCATAACTCCAATAATTCAATGGATGTTCTATAGAGAGAGGACTAAATCTGTGACTTAAAAAAAAAAAATAAAATTTTCAAGTGTTTCTGCAACTAGTCGATGAAGCTTTTATATTAGTTTTTAAATTAAAGTATTTCCAGTTATACAGCTTCTAGCTACTAACCACTGAGAGGCTCCTCTTTAGAGCTAGACCAATCAACCTTATATCAACTAACCTGTTCTCCCTCTTTTCCCTCTTTTTAAGTAATCGCTCTGGGGTTGAAAGTCTAAATTTATTCCAGTATTTGTACAGTCAGATAGTCCACAACTGCTTGCAGGACTAGAGATTTCAACAAAAAAACACCCTGAACTCACAACACACACTTCTTTCACTATGGAAAGAATCATCATGGAATGAAGCCTCAGGCTTCAATGTCTCTTGAACAACCCTTGAATCTAGAAAATTATTCTGACAAAACTGATCATGAACCAGAACTCACTAAAAATTCAGCAGCATTTTTTCTACTATAATAAAATTAGTTTGTACATTGTTGAAAAAAGGAACAGCATTATCAGGCATTATTAAAAATAAAAAAGAAATGCATAGAATTTGTTTTAAACGTAATTATATCAGGGAATTGTTTGGTGTGCTTGAGTTCCATGGAAGTATCGAATGGGAAAATCAGTTACCAATATGGCATTAACAATTCATACATACTATCTAGTACTAAGACTTACTAAAGAAATTTGTTTCAGTCTTTCTTATAAAATAATAATTTCTGAGGAAATAATAGATCACTAGGACCACAGATAAAAGTTATGTTTTTCCCTTGACTAAATCTCTCTAGCAAACATATAAATAACTACCATTTTAAGGTGCAAAAAATCCAAAGAGCAGCAAGACCACAATCCTAAAACCACCTAATTATATATTTAACTTTAAATTCATGGAGCTGCATTATGCACAGGAATTCAGATAAAAAGCCGCAGGATTAAAAAAGAAAGTCCTCTTCTCACCTAGGTAGTTCTGACATCATTAAAATCTCTTAAAAATACACTACTTAGAAATATTAAGTCTAGAATAACTCAGTAGTTGCCCATTCAATTGTTATTGCTCTTTCAGGACTTGTCTAACTGATTTGCACCAGTTCAGTTTAATTATTCTGTATAAAAAATTGTGAAAAAAAAGTTGCAGACTCTTGGTTTTAGTTACAATATTGATTACATCCATTTATTTATCTGTGATAAAGCACCAGGTAGACACCTCCTTTAGGAGGCAACATATCCTACAGAAATGGGACTAAGAGAGAAATCAGAATTAAGTCCTACAATTCTGCGGGTTTCCCAGATGTTCATACTGTCAAAGCACTTAGGCTGCTTTTGCCACGCAACCCGATTTGGAACAAGGTTTTAAGATCAGCTGTCCTTCCACACTGGGCTACATAGCTCACTCCTAAGGAAACTCTCTTAGACTGCTGTACTGAAGTTGCTCCTCTGTTTAAGTCTATTTGTCACTGGACCTGAAGTCAGAATCACCCAGTTGCTCCAGCCTACTCACAGAAGACTTCAATCCTCATTCCTGTGTAAATCACTGAATCTTATACAAAGAAAAATATTACTGTAGAAATACTGTAAAAGATCATAACAATTTACAGCATAGTGATAAAGGCACTTTCTTAGAACAGATTTGTATCAAATACCTGCTGCAAAACCAGGAGAGAAGGAATTTGAACCCGGACCTACCCCATCCTATTTAGTTTGCCCAGTGTGGTGCTGTGAATACAGCCTGTCACCCCTAAATCTCTGCTATGTTTCTTATCAACCTAGTGGGTTTCGTAAGAGCAACAGCAGAAATACCCACTTCCTTACCTAGGAAAGACTGAAGATGGAAACAATGATTTTTAGATATTCCCTGGGTTTTCAGGGGTGTGCCACTGTGTGGGGTCAGGAGCAGACTACTCACATCTGGCACCACGTTAACCCAATATTGCTTTCTGTCTAAGCTTTTCTGTTGTAAACTAACCTTTAAATGCTACCATTGCTAAAAGGAGTTAAGATTAACAGGTTAATCCCTGCACATCTATGACAACTAAAAATGTATCAAATAGGCTATGAGCGCACATTAATCAATATCTGCAAAAATAAATGCATGAAATGGAAATTTTCAAAATCAGATGTAACAAAAAAGTACAATCATTTTTTCTTGAGTATTTTTCTTTAATTTTGATCTCTGAATTGAGGAAATCACTTATGCTTTAATAGAGTAATGAATGATACTTGCCAATCAAATATGACAAGTTCAAAAAAACCTATTTCACAAGTAACAGCTGTGCAACACCTCCAACACACATTGCTTTAATGGAGAACAGTATCTTTTCAAAGCTCAATGGCATTATTGCTGTTTTGGTCAGTTTAAATCCAACCATAACCCCTTGCTATTATTTTTCGATAAGACCACTCATGTGTTGACCTTTTCCTGAAATATAGGACAGGAATCTTTCATGCCTTTCCAGCTCATATAAGCAGGTGGTTATTTTAAGGGACTGCCTGATGCATGTGCTTCACATAGTTCTATATAATTTACTGGAAATTGATGTTTGAGTCTGTCGATTCCCATGCCTTCCTATAAAAGAAATTCTTTCTTTTAGTGATTACAGCACTGAAAATTTCTATACACCTGGGCAATTTCTCCACTTACCACAAACACATTTATTAGTTTCCTGTTAGAAGTATTATAGTTAGGGAAAAGGTAGTAATTCAGTGTTAAACCCTATATTAAACCATTCTTGACTTTCTAAACAATGACAAAGATTTCATTTGGAAAGAAATCTATCTTTGATGGCTTTAGTTCACCTCTTAAAATTCAATCTAAAATATATATATACATTTTTACTTGACATTAAAGGGATTTTTTTAAATATTCTTCCATTAAAATGTGTTTTTCCATGGTCATGTTTTGTCTAGACGCCTCAGAAAATTACACTGCTCTGAAACTTCCAGTCTTGCTGCACACATACAGGAGACACTTAGGAGGAAATGGTTAAATTTTATTACATTTGTTTTGAAGTAAGAAAATCAGTTAGGGTCTGCTTCTCATTTTCTCTGCTCTGGAAGTGTGAGACAATCCTCCAGCTGGTGCTAACTGCACATGGCTTGAAGTTCTCAGCTCTCCCAGCTCTCAAGCAATTTCAACTCCATCAAAAGCAGCAGGAATGACAGAAGCCTGCTCCTCCACATGGCAACACGAGCACCTTGTGAGGCAGGTCTGGGCGAAGGGCAGCCCTCTGCAAGACGCTACCCCGATGCTGACAAGAGCGTGGGCTAAACACAGTTAAACTACCATTTCAGGCATTCAGACTCACAGCTGTTATTTTAACTCTTCATTTTATCCAACCCCTAGCATACCAGGAAATTGGTTCAAGCTGGTGGAATTCCTACTGGAATGGACTACTGGTGGAATGGACTCCCATTTTCCTGCAAAAATAACTGCACAAGAGTAGCACGATTTCATGTCAACAACAGAAAGTGAAACTTTTCTGACCAAGAAAATGTTCCATGAGGAGTTTCATCACAATCGCAGTATTTTGTGAAAAGATACTGGCTTTAACTAAATTCTGCAAGAACTTTTCACACAGGGAGAAGGCAAACCAGAAGAAAAAGTTGTTTCCATCTCACTTGCCATGTTGCCATAACTCCATGTTGAAAAAAATGTTTTTGGTATAGTGAACAACACAATAAATGGAGCACATCTATAAATATGATCATGTTCTGTCTCACATACTCTTTCCTCAGACTACCCTTCCATCCATTAACTTCCCTATGTGACAGAATTACTAAATATCTACGGTGATATACAATACAAGCAGTAGTTTTCTGTTAAGATCATTACTCAGCTGTTGGGATAAGAGGAGTGATTCTGCCTCACTGTCAAAATCGTGCCAGGATTGCAGGTCTTGTATCCACGGCCCTCACCATGGCTGGATAAAGTTGTAAAGCAGGACCTACATATTTACTTTACTTCACAGTGCTTCCCTTCCTCCTGCTTTTGAAAGATAGAAGAGTGGAGTCTGGAAGCAACACAGCTCAAGCTCAGCAGCTGAGTCTCAGAAAGGAAAAGAAAGGGTTCTTTTCCTACTGCTGCACTAATGCTCTATTCCCCAGTGGACAGATGACAGCTCAGAAGCAGTCATCGTCTACAAAACACTTCATGGAGGAGAATCAGACTGTCAAGGGGCTTAGAATTAAAGTAGAGATTATCTAGTAGGAGAAGGCATAATATAGTAAATTGGGACTTGGTGTTTGGAAAGCAATTGCCCTGCTGAACTTTCTTGCCCCCATCTCATGGCAATTCTGTGGAGATACTAAGAGAAGTCTGAATGAGAGTCACTGTACCAGAGGCAGGGAGGTCCACCAGAAGAATATTTCCCTGGGACATAACAGATCAGTCAAGGTACAGGAGGTGAGGATGGAAAAGGCAGGGAGGCAGACTGTAAAGCTGCATCAGTCTTGCGGCAGCACTTTGTGAGACAGATGGAGATGTTTCCTACCCGGAGGCTGAGCGCCAGAGCAGTCACACCCCGGCAACAGCAAGCAGGCCCTTATCCAAAGCCTTGCTCACCTGTTTGAAATAGATGCTAGCTAAACCTCCTCACTTGAGGTTAAGGTCACTCTCCTGGATTTGCAGAAAAGCCACAGGTGAGTCCGTGCTTCCACACTCAGTACTCCTTCAGCAGCAACCACCAACACCTTCTCACAAGCCCTTCTAAACAGTCATCTTGTGGGGACAGGCTGAGTTCAAAGCTGGTCCCTGACTTTTCACCCACTACTGATTTTGGGCTGATCCCGAAACACAGTGGACATTATGTTCATACATCATTACAGCGACCACAAAAGAGGCAACTTATCTAGGAAAAACAGAAGCAAGCCCTGGATCTATGACAGAGCAGAAGTGTGTAACACCAATGATTTCTACTGTGCCGGTGAAATCCATCATTCAGCAGACCTGCAAGACTGTAGCACAAAGAGCACTGCAGCCATCTTAGTGCGATGTCTGTGACCTCAGCATGGATATGAAGGCTAATCATGAGATGTCTCCATTCTTTGTGACTAGGGTAGTTTTCAGAGGTTTAATAGCTGTCACTCGCCTGAAGCAGAACAGCCTCATGCATGGCTATGGGGAGGGAACAAGGAAAATGGTGGTGACGTATCTGTGTAGCGCTCTGAGAGCAAAAGAGATGGCTTCATTTCTCATGCCAGACAAATTGAGTCAGTAAAAGGGTCATCTGATCACTGGTATATGAACTGATTGAGTAGAAAAATGGTTACATAAATGCTACGGCTCACCAGGTAAGGAGAAGACAGACTAGCAGAAGCACTTGCAAAATTAAAACCTTCCAAAACTATGACTATATACTTTCCATAAACAGGTGTGAAGAGCAACATTGAATATGAAACATCTTGGAGATTATGCACTTTGTCAGGCAAGTTGCCAAGGCCTGGCACTGTCCTTTCTACAGGATTTGTTGCAAAGGACAACGAATTACATCTCGAAAAGATGCTGCATAGTTGTAACTTCCAGTTACACCTTGGTGTTGTGAAGAATGGACAGAATGAGCAATTATCTGAACTAATCCTGCTCAGCATATTGAACAATTAGAGACCTACATGCCTTACTATCTCTAGTACATAACCAGTGACACCCAGGATGAGTAGAAAGCAGCAACCCAAGCATCCTACATTCAGTGGCTCTCACAAGACTGGACAGCAGCCTCTTATCCCTCGCTCATGAAAATGCCAATTGACATCCTACAATACCTTGATGAGGTCACAGAAACAGTAGCAGAGACAATGCTAAAATCAGTAATCCTCTCTCATCTCCTTCTGAAGGTACAGATTTGCTGATTTCTACCAGGAAATAACCATCCCTGGTGAACTCTAGTGTGTGTACTCCCCTCTAAAATTGTTATTTAAACTACCCAAAAAAAGGAGTATTTCTTGATGGTAATATATGTAGCTATTTCAAAATTGCCGTGGTTTCATTTCTCTTAGATAACACACAGACAAGGCAAATTTTATTGAAAAATTTAAGTGATATGCCAAGATATCACAATGGTAGTCATTAACTTGGACCCTCTTCATTATTTCAGCTGAAATGAGGTATGTGATCAGTATTATATGACAGACAACCAACAGCCATTCATCATATCCTATCCATTCTTCAGGTTACACTGGAAGCTTCTTTAGCAGACCATTTAGCCAACAAGTGGGAAATACCCACTCCTTCCTAAAGAGGGCATGGAAACCATCCTCATGAACAGCATTTCCTCCAAATTTTATTTGAGTACCCACATTCAATTACCCTCACTTGAAGAACAATGTGACCACTCCCAATCTTCCAAATATCCTCTGGAGTAGTTTATTTCACCTCCAGCTTGCAGCACTGTTCCCAGCAGCGTTGCTGGGACAACACTGACACTGCATCCTCTGCACAACAGAAAGTCTTCAGGATTCTTCCCATCCACAAGAATCAATCCTGGAAATCATCCTTTCCAGTCTCAGAACCCCTCCCCAATCACCATGGAACAAACGTATCAGCTGCAGAAAATCTCCAGGAGCATCACAAAACCATCTATACCAACCCCAATACATAACAGCACATACAATGAATCATACATTGATTCCATCCAAGGATGTTCTTACTGACTTCTTAACGTTGAAGAATTCTCCAGCTGAGCTAGACAACAATAAGTAGAAGTAAGAGGACATCCTTGCTGTACTCATAAGTTTACAGTCTCATTTTCAATGAGGCACAGCAAGTGAGTGAGTGAGAAAGTAATGAGGAAGGACAAGGATAATGACAATAGATCACAGTGGCATTGATTTGCTACAGAGGAAACTGATGACTCAGAAAGGTTCCTCTTTAATTTCTATATAGCAGCCACCCCAAAATCATTGCTCACACTGGACATCATTAATTTGTTGATTTCTTGAAGGCATTCCGATAGGAGCAGTAGATCTTAAAGAGTGGGTAGTGGTTTTATGGACTTGTTCCTCCACAGCACTGTGCAAGTAAAAGGCAATGAAGACGCAACTGTGCAGATAATAGTGATATACTGAACTTTCAAGTCAGGAGTGAAGGGAAGGAGGCATGCATGTACAACCTAATGAGATGAGATGAGATGATCAACTCTCTCTGAAGTCAGTGGAAATCTTTCTATTAACTTCAATGAGAGTTCAATAAAACCCTAAAGGACAAAAGTAGAGCAGGTCATTAAGGCAGATTGTGAAAGTGCAAACAGGTTTTGAAGTATGCGAGAGGTGTTAATATTAAAAACTACGGCCAATGCAATGACTTTCCCTGCAAAGTGAGGCATCATCTTATGCTCTGACTAGAATGTGTTTGCCAGGTTTGCCCTGGTCTCCAGCACATTTCTAGATCATTATATCACAGGAGCAGAGTAAAATATGTTACATTCTGGTAGGCTGCAAATGATCAGGGCAAAGAAACACATACCTTTTACCACTAGAAAGTTGGGATACTCAGATTTCCATTGATCTTAACGCCATTCATTTCTAGTCCTGCCTGAGCGGATAAGCTCTATTTGACTATTATCTTTTAGTGACTTAGGAAAAAAAAAAAGGAAAAAACACAGGCTCACACAGGTTTGACTCTTTCCTCTCTCCAGCTAAATTTCTATCAGAGGGAAATCTCTATGCCCTTCTCATTTTACAAGAAGGGGTCAGTTCTCCCTCTACAGCCCATGTGTTGAGGGGATGCATGGATCCTTCTTTTCCCTTCCATATAATAATTCTGTTCAAGTGTCCACACTTCTTTCCTCACTCTCTTCAACTCCAGTAAACTGCTAAGAAAATAGAGAAATATTTCATGAAATTTTATGGTGGGATTCCTTTTTTATGTGATAAAACCCCACTATCTAGACCTAGCTGTCCTCAGGACAATAACTATTATGATCATGTAGGAACTGAGGAGGAAGAAAATAAGTAGTAAGCAGAATAATGCACTTTTGAGGTCCAGCATCTGGTTATCTAATAGAGAGAAGAAATACTTTGATAGATCAATAAGGAAACTGTTTAATGACAGTAAACATTTCTTAGCCCTGGTTCAGACTATGGATTGGAATTAAAAATGCCAGAATTCTAAATACTTTGCATTTACTAAGTCATACTCATCAGATGCTTTACTATAAAAATATTACATTTAACTTTCACCAATCAATAAACCTAATTGCATTCATCAATGATTTTATATATGTTGCTAAATATAAAATACTTAGCACTTAGGTACACATTTCTATGTAAAAGCTTTTCATTATACTGTCTAGCTTTTGCAATAATTATAAATCTTGCTTGTTGCTCATCCTTCATTCCTCCTCCCTCCCTTCCCAACTCTTTTTTTTGTAATTCAATTCAAGTAGCTAAAACTGGGTGCAGAGCAACTAAACACTTATCTAGGATCAATTCCAAAGAAACAGTTGAGGAAAACACAAGTATGCTTTATGAGATTCCACTGGGAGGAAAATTTATTTTTACCTGATTTGTTAGACACCCATATAATTGCCTCTGATGAGATGTGGCTCGTATTTCCTACTGCAATTGTTAATGGAATCTGCCACAAGTAGCTGCAAGACAAAGGAGGGGGAATCTAAGAACAAAAATACTGAACTGATTCTTCTCACAGCAATCAGGGATCATGTCAAAGAAATCAAAACACAATTTCAGTAGCAGTGTAAAGATGTGGATTCTAACAAGTTACTTGGATTTTGAAATGCATTTGCTATTAGCAATAAAACAATGAAAAAGTCATTCATCTTATGAAAAACTAAATTATATTTTACATTTTTCACACACTATCATCACGAGGACTTTTTTGTAAGGCTTTCCTAATTTAACCAAATGATTCACAAAAGAGGAAACAATGATTTCCAATAAAAAGAAGAACACTTTTTTACATTTACTTAGAAAAAGACAACCTCCAGGTAAAACACGCTTTGATTTGTAAGGACTCCAAAGTTTAAAAATAACATACTCTTCTAGCAACTTCTTAAAAAAATATGATGGGCTTTCACAGCTGCTTGTTTATAAAAACATAACAAATGGGATGGATCTCCATTTCTTTGCACCATTAATTATCACTTACGTGTATGCAAACTGGGCAAACATGCTACATGTGGATTTGGAGATATGCTGGTGTTGATCAGACCTCAACTTCCTTATAGGGTATCACAAACTGTTTCTCATTTGAAATAAATACTATAATTTACCTAAGACTTTTATAACATCTTTATGTCAATAAACAAAAATTGACTATATGAAGTCAATCTCTCTGGGAAGAGATGGAAAGGATTAATTCCTGCGTGTCTTCATGACCTTCTCTATTCCTGAACTCTCCGAAGTGCCATTTCACCAGCCCCATGAAAGAACAGGCATTCCTTCACAGGCCTGCCATTTCATTTTGTACACCGGTCGAGGGGGAGCACTCAGTAATGGTACAGGTGGTACCTTTGCCTAGGGAGTATGTGTGCATTTAAGCAAAGCAGCTTGGTAAGAGAATGGGCCTCAACTCAGATATCACTGTACACTACACTTAGATGCCAATTAAGTACCTCGTTTTACATTAATTGCATTAAAATGGTGCAAGGATGAGTGTGGGCAAGTTCTTGATGTCTACGTCAGCTTCTCTCCTGCTAGTACACAGCACTGCAAAACTAGCCCATGGTACCATAGACATCAGGTTTGCTCTTTTCTGCTCACCCAGAGGCCTGCTCCACTGAACTACAAACATCATCCAAATGTGCCACAACTGTGGGTTGTGCCTGGGAACATGCCAGCCGTCCAGCACTGGAAACCATGGGGATCATGCACCACTGAATTCCCCCCATGCCAATTCAGTGAGAAATGGCAGACTACTACAGTAATTTCTCTTCCCTGCTACTCTCAGATTTCATCAAGGATTATTTAATTCTATTACTTCAAAGGCCAGATCCAGCAAATGCCCCCTGATATGAGTAACTCTGCACGTTTGATGCGAAGGCGCTGAGAGCAGCCCCACTCCAGGAGGTCTGGCTGCTGCGGCTCAGGGCCAGTGTGATGTCCCAGCCTGGCCCCATCACCATGGATTTCCCTGGGGATCTGGAGTGTGGGCTCAACCCAGCTGCTGCCCCCAGACCTTGTTTGGGGGCTGGGGGAGGGAGAGATCCCCGCTCCACCAGCCCTGCTGCCATGCTTGCTCCCCACCCCTTAGCGAAGAGCCCCCACGCAGGCACGGGGGTTTGCAGCGCTCAGAACAGAACCACGTGTGCTGGGAAACACTTGTCCGTGCAGCAGTGATTCAGCAGAGAGGGGGAGATATTTGGAAAACCGTATGCCTACAAGAGCTATGAATGACACTAGAAAGAAAACATGGCATTTATTGCCATATGGGAGAAGAAAAAGGGTCCCATGTGATTTGGGGTGCTCTGAGTGCTGGCTTCATGACACACTGGGAAAATTATTAGATCTACTCATGCAGTGAAGAGACCCGCTCCACATTAGCACATGTGCTGGCAGGCACTTTTCAGATAATTAAGATGTGGCATCTGAAAATGCTACTGCCTTTATCAGTCTGCCCAGACTTTGTGCTGGATGTTACCATCGTCCTGCACAGCCAGCAGAAAATGATGCCCACTGGTGCATTAACTTCTCCAGTTCTCAGTTGGGTCTTCACACAAAGTTACCTTCATTGTCAGGTTAACTAATACTCCGTGAACTAGAGTAATGAGGTGAAAATGTGTATTGTGTCCTACTGCTTCTGCTACAGCAGTAATAACTTCTGGGTTTGACAGGTGAGGGCAGCCAGGAGATGCTGTGAAGTGATGCATCAGAGAATATTCACTATTTTCTTAAATACCTTATAGCTTACTAGACACCCACCACTGTTTTAGAGTCTGTCCAAAAAACCTTCTAGGAAAGATACTATCTTTAAAAATACACTCAGTTCTAAATACTCAGTTATCCAGAAAGAAAAAGATGCTGGCAAAATGTGATGGAGAAAAACGAGGCAAAATTAAGCACAAAGCTCATACGTTATTTGAAAGCACAGGAAGAACTGCATTTGCATGGTATTTTTATGATTCTTGAGTTCCACTCCTACAGAAAAAGTTATACTGCAAAATAAAAGATCTGAGAGCTGCCCGTGTAGCTTATTTAAACACATACATAAACATACAAATGTATGAACATATACATGGAAACTTGTTATTTTGAGAAGGAACTTCATAAAAAGGTATTCCGTACATTGCAATATCTATACAGAGAAGACTTCTATAGTACTTTATATTATTATTTCATGTTACCTCCAATAAGATAAATCCTACTGAAATAAGTACAGATCTTTCTCTGAAAGGTGATCTAGATATGAAATAGGAGTCCTGTAAGCTACCCATCCTCAGAAAACACATGTGGATTTAGTTGGGAAGATTGTTACTGGTAGATTTAACTTTTATCCCCCCAAGACAAAAGACTTCTCAGGACTCTCCAGAATCTCCAAATCTCATCCTCTTGGATTTTGGTTTACCAGGTGAACCACAGATTTTACTAGATCTCTTCAGAAACCCATTTTTCCTGCTTGTACTGCTGCTGTTCTCCAGAGGTTTATCTGCTTTCCCTTTCCAGATCTCTTCGTTCTCAGTGAAACTTTTGCTGCTGTTGCAGAAGCAGCTGTGGCTAACTTTCTTGTCTGTATGTGAAGAAGATGTATCTGGCTCACCTTTCAAGAATTTTCATTAGGATGACTACTCCTACACAACATCTCTGAGTGATCTGTAAGGACTGTGTTCTTCAGGTGTGACTATGAAGAAGCAAACATTTTTGTACTTTTCTGTCGCTCTCTTACAGCCCACTTGCCTGTTTTCTTCCTACTTTGTCTGGGAGTAGTGCACATCTTTTATTTATTCTTTATACCTTGAGAGCACATACGCTCTCTGTATGTATTTGAGCAGGGAAAGGACCTCCCTGTTCCACCTGGCCATCTGCTGCCTGCTGTGAAAAACCAGTTCCAGTGAAAACAAGAAGCCACCACTGAGGGCCCAGTGACTAGGGCAGCAGTACTTGAAATAACCCATTTGGTCCTCCTACCCTCAAGAATATGTCTGCAGAAGGACACTCAGCCCCTGGGTGAAATGGAGCTAACAAACTGTGTGTCCAATGTGCTTGAGATGCTGCTAAGCCTCAGAGGGATCTGCACATTATGTCCCTCTGGATACAAACCTGAACACCTTAACAGGGAGCTAAAGGCAGACCACTTCATTGTGGGGAAACTGAGGGCTGGGCTCTTCAGGAATTTAAGAAACCAACTCTGAGGATAAGGAGGACAGACATCTAAAATTGGAACAGACATGGTAAATATGAACTGTGCTGTACATAACATTGTTCAGTCATAAATGTCTTAGAAAGATGTAGGAAGAGGGGGATCTTGTTGAAGGGTAGTACAAATAAGCCTTTCACTGTTGATTTACACATTAACATCACGTTAATGTGAAATAGTTAAATTTATGTTGCCTTGCAGAAATAAAGGGAATGTTTTGGTGCCATTTTTTTTTTGGTAGCATCACATCAATGCCTAATACCGAAGTTTGTTGCATCTCTAGTCAACTTAAAGAATAATCAGAGGGACTTGTTTGATAAAGTAATACAATGATGTTTCTGCCAAGCTACACACAATACTAGAAGCTAGCTAATTAAGCTCTGATTGGATTATATAGGTGTTTTTTGTCTTGACTATTACATAATGACTACATAACCAGTATTAGTGTACTTTACCTCACTCAGAAATTGATCATATTTGTGATGAGTACTTTCTTGTGCCTCGATTTCCAACAAGTAAGAACTGAGACCACAAAGCATTAAGCAAACATGATTCATCACACTTCTATCTTGTAGTAACATTGGATTTTCAGTGGAACAATTAGTTGATTCTTTGTAAAGAGCTATGCAACATCAAAAAAGGGCAGTAGATCATTTCCTCTGCTGACAAAACAAAGATCTCAGACCATTAAAAAGGAAAATGCAAGGTTCCTGGAGTTACAGAATTTGCACACCTTTTGAACTGCTTTTAGACATTAATTAACTTTTTTGCTGAGATATAAACCCGTATATTTTCAAGATTCATCCTCCCAGTAACTATAATGTGCCAAGCTTCCACGCACTGCCTCTAGTGAATACCATGTTCTTCCAGAGAAATTTTGCCTTTCTGCCTGGATTCAAATCTCAACAAACAAGTTCAGCTACTCCTAGTCATTACTCACAGAACAATGAAGATATCTGCTCAATATTCAGAAGTTTATTATCCTTGGCTGCATTATAAAGAGTACACAAATAATGTAATTGTTTCATGTAAAGTGACAGAACATCTGTATCTAAAATATCACAGCAGAACTTAGCTAACCTGCTTTTTGAAAGGGAGAGGATGTGAACAACCACATCCCTCTCTACATTCTTCTGGTTTTACAGACCGCTGGGTTAAAGACTCCTAATCTATCCTGCTGTTCTTTATACAGAAGCTACACTTAATCCTTCTTTTGTCCACCTCCATATTTTTTCTATTTATTATACTCTTTTCTAGGTTAGAAAGACAGACCTGCCC